AGCTGTACTGTAGTGATGTAATCAATTGTATGTTTTCTCCCTAGAGAGAAAAAGCAAAACCAGGGGAGCCAAGAACCTTAGACTGTATTGAAACTTTATGTGAGGCAAGTAGACTGGATTTGAGCCACAGTACCTTAAGAATTGTGGTGGATATTTTATAGATCAGTGATTCTGGTAGTCTGCCTTTACATAGTTCAGTTTGATAGATGGTTGCTGCCTCAGTATTAATTTAATCATTCTGTGTCTGATAATATCTACTAAAAAGATGATTAAGGGTTTCAGATAAGGATTAAAATGACCTTATTAGAAATCAGATGCAGTTGGCTAATTTCAAGAAAAAAATTTTCATGGTAATTACTTGTTCTTATCGCAGATTGACCTCCAAAAACATGCCAAACAAAAGGGAGGTGTCATGGGCCACAGTGAAAACCATTTAGTGACACGGCATCATGTCTAGACTCCAAGGATTTTGTTGACAGACCAATGAAAATCAGGGACTTAGTGTGAAAAGGATTTCATAAATGAATGCAATATTGAATTTACGGTATTCTCCCAGGTACTAATTTATTCATCATGTAATTTCTTAGGTATTAGTGATGCTAATTGACCATATTGAGAGAATTGTTGAAGATTTTTGAGCAACTGAACAAATCCCAGAACTGAACAGATGAGAGCTGAAGCAGAAAAAGTCAATCTGGTACTAATTTTGTACAAATTTTTGTAGCTGAAGATAGTGAAACAGTATCCTTGGTGTAATGGTGGATTTGCTTATTCTGGCTTAAGACCATCACCTTCGAAAAGTAGCTTTAGTATACTGGCTAAAGTGTTCTTGCTGCTAAGAGTTGAGCTACAGACTACAGCTTATATTAATATTCAGTTATTTCTTCATTATGTCATATCCTTCCTTTGACATACAATGACGATCTGGCTCTAGTAAGGCCAATTTAAGCTTTCTATAGAAAGTACTAAGTAGCAGCATGAAGCCTTTGAAAGCCCTCTAGGAATTTAGGCACATTCATTTTATGAATTTCCATTGACAGTTGCGTAGCCTGATGTAGTACTAACCTTTAAAAATTGCATCCAAGGTGTTTGGTTTTGTGGTTGCTGAAGTCCCAGCTGTGCACAGGAAAGATGTGAGTAATTCCCTAGTGATGCTTGGCAGTTCCACTGTCTGATGGCCTCAGGTCATCCTTTTGCACTAATGATGGTTTGTGAGGGTAAATGCCTCTCTTCCCTACATAAGGGGGAGTTTGTTCCTTCTAAAGTATGAGATGATATTTGGAGAAACTCAGCTGGCACAAATGAGTTCCTTCTGCTTGTCTCTGTTGTGTCTAGTTGTGCTGGAGTGAGGGAAGTGACTGCTTATTCTAATCCTGAGCTGCCTATAAAGTGTAAATCAAATTGAATAAAGTGGGAATAAAGTGTAATCAAATTGAATAGGAGAAAAGATATTCTGTATGTGGTGAAGAACATAGCTATTATATACCAATGCATAATGAAACACATGGATTTTAGTGTACTTTCTACATTATAGTTTAAAGTTCTCAGTAACAGGTTCCATCCTCCCATTTTTGCAGAGATTGAAAAGCTTTGGATAGATTATCAAGAAGAAAAGGGATTTGAGAAACAAAATAAAACAAGGTAATCTTAAGGAGATCATTCAGAAACTCTCTTTACTCTGTTCCACCAGAACAGGAGAGTACTCAATAAATTTGAAGGTCACTGAGAAATTTCAGAACTGGTAAAAGGGAATTGCTTTTGTATACAGCCTGAACATTACACCTGTAACACTCATTGCTGCAGAAGGTTGCTAAGGCCAAAAATACAGCAAACTTGAAAAAGACATTGGATACTAAATGGGTCATTGCTGATATCCAGAGTTATAATAATTATTGCTATAAAAGTTTGAAACAGAGATTGTGTTTGAGCTTTGAAGCACAGAGTAGTCTCTGTCTGACAGATATCAAGATGAAACTTATAGAAAGATAACGTCATGACTACCTTTTATGGGCTCTTATCCTACAGTCTGAACTTACTATGCTGGCAGTATACAATAGTATTTAAATCTGTTGTCTGATTGCATGTATCAATTGCTGTTTGCAAAGTCCTTTAAAATGTACATCTGTATCGACAGAAGCGATAGCCATCTAAACCCCTGTATTTAACCAAATTAAGTCAGAAGTGAAAGCAACATGGTTGGATATCTTTTATAAGTGTCAAAATACTACCGACCCACATAAATGATCTCACACTACACAGCATACAAACTGAGCATGTATGTATGTATGTTAAGGTCCAATGTGTTTGTTTTTTTTTTTTAAATACAGTTATTTTTCAGTACAGTCTTGCTGCTAAGTCTCATTGCTTTGTTGGTAAGTGCAGTGCATCACATGTCTGGATATGAAGCCTTAAGCTACTGTCCACTTTTCTGAAATAGAGCCACATCTCAAACAGTGTGTATTCTGAGTGTGTATTCTGCTGTGGAGCAGTTTGGGAGCCACTGGAAATAAAAGCAAAATGACCTTGCAGTTAAAGTTCATTATCTCAAGACATGTAACCAGAAAAAATGAATCCCAAGGTGTTTCTTAGGTTTTCCACCCACCTCATGACTGGGAAAGAAAGTAAAAGAAAACACACACAGCAATGTGATTTCTATTTCTAATTCTATTCTATTCCATTCCATTCCGTTTGTACTTCTTTTGAGGCAGAGGTCTTGCAACTGGTTTTTAGTGTAACTTTAGGAACCTATAGAATAATAAGCAGTAATATTTTATAACCTTCTGGCATGATGTAGCTGTTTTCATTAGAGACTTAACACCAACATGACATATGTAGACTTTTGCAAATAAACAGAACTAGATTTAATTCTGGGTGAAAAACAGAGGCAGTACTAGAGAAATTAAACTTCAGTCACCTATCCTGTACATAAACACATTGCAGGAAGAAGTTGTCTCAGAACTTAACAGCTATCAAAGCAGAGCTCTGAGGGACGAAAGTTGTTTTTATTTTACTGGTGGTTTCACCTGAAATGATATGTTAGTAGGAAACGTGCAGGTTTGCACAGTGAAATGCTAATCTACCATGTAGACCTTATCCCAAGTGCTAGGGCTAGGAAGAGCAGAGACCTTTAATCTCTTTGGATGTTCAGGTCTGGCAGGAGTAATTGTAATGGTTTTCAGAGATGGTGTGAAGGTGTAACTTTATGAAGCAAATTATCTCATTACTTTTCTCCTTGTTCCCTAAATAGCATAATTAATATCCAGATGTTCCCTAAGATTAGTTTTATTTCCTGCTCACCTAGTTGACAGACACTGGTGAGATTTGAATTCACAGCAGGCTAGAGCAGATGGCTACCTTTGCTAACAGATTACTGCATCAAGGCATACAAACTCCAGCTCTGTCTCAATAAACTTCAACATATGATTTATAAAGTGAACATAATAGAAGAAATCTATGATGCCTATAATGGGAATCATATTACAGCACTACTTAAAGCACCAGGAGAATTGCCTGAGCAGTTAGTGTATACTTGTGCCGATCTCCAAATCTTATTAGGCAAGAAAGCATTGCCTGGGAAATTATTCGCCTTCTTTTCTGTATTAATTCCTTTAATTTTTTTCTTTTATTGGACTAATTAAGGCAGATTTCCAATACATATAGCTTCTATTGAACCTCCAGCAAACATATGTGTTCACGCTGCTTTGGCAGTTAATTACTTGTTTTGGATATTTTATATAAGGAAAAAAGTCTCTGCTAAACTTCTGTACCACCAAGCCCATGATGAAAGTGCTGTACTCTCAACTAAAAAAAAACCAACAAAAAGAACTGTTGTTTCAGAAAAAGAAAAGTTATTGCAAGATGATGCATACATATCCAGCACGGCAGATAAGCTTGATTATTTGAGGTGATAAATTGCAAGTAAAACTTACCTGGAACCATTGCTGAGAAATGCCTCATAAAGGAGACCAAGGCTTTTTACAGAGTGTGGCAGCTTCAAATGATGACATAGTATCTTTAAGAAAGGTGATATTTATTTGCTATGTAAATAAATATGAAATGTGAGTGCCTGTGTGCCTACAATCTACAGATATTGCTGTTATTATTTTTGGAGAGGGTCAGTCTGTAATTCTGTGTGTTTTTCTAAGCATTCAGCACATATTTACTCTTTGGGAAACTCCCGTTGCTTTTAGTGCTAAAGAATGAGATACAGAGTGATTTATAACTATGTAAGATGAAGTGGGAGTCCTTACGCTTGCAAAATCCGGTCTTGTTTCCTGATGAGTGATACCATCTCACTCCTTTTCTGCTTTTCTGAGGGCATTAGAAAAGTCAGCTGAGGTGCCTTGGATAGAGCTCTGTGCAATTGCTAACGCTCTCTTCTGTCCTTTCTCTTCTCTAGTTTGATCCGTTCAGTGCTCTGTTTCCCTCACTTTGTACTTAAGATCTAGATTTTGCCCTGTTCTCTGTGATCTCTGTCACTCTATGAGAGGAGGGCTGCAGTCTCCTGTGTGATACTGGGAGCTAATGGGATTTTCTTGTTAATATTGTGGAGAACAGCAGGAATACCACAATGTCAGTTAGTTGAACATAGAGGTTGCTTTGTGTTTGTTACAAAAAGATGGATAAAGTTTCCGGTTTTGAAGAGTAAGGGAAGGGTTTTTTCCATTTTGAAGTTAAAAACTGAAGTTAGGATAACTTCTGTTTGCAGACCTGACATATTTCCCTATATACTTAACTAGCATAATGTATTTCTGCATGCAATATTGTTTTCTTAGGATATGAAGCAGAGGAAGTGTAGAAAATACACAGCAGCTAAACATTGTAGTTATATATTTCCGAAGATTCTGTTTGACTGCTTGACTGAATAGTACTGACTACAGTAAATATTTGATGTAGTAGTGGTTTTGCTTGCATTTATATGACTTGATTAGAGTTGCGTGGTGTCTCTTCTGTCAAATACAAATACATGTGGATGTTTTTGGTTATTGTTTCTATCATAGACTTGCCCTCAGCGAACTTAAGCAATTATAACATCACCGTGGTGGAAGGAAAGAGCATCACGTTGTACTGTGATACTACTGGAGGACCACCCCCAAATGTGTCCTGGGTGGTAACTAATCTTGTTTCAAACCATGAGGTAAGTTTTATATTCAAATATGTGACAATTCGGAGACAGGTGATACCTGCTGAATGATGGAATGAAGTTTCACATTCAACTTTAGTTAACTTTTTATTAAAAAGATGAAAGAGAAAGTTAATGTTGGGATTACATTTGTTTTCCAGTTACTTTCAGTCGCGGGTGACTGTGGCAGTGCTTTTGGAGAATGGCAGACATTTGTTTCTCAAGATCCTGATTTTCACTCTGTTTTTTTGATGTTCACTGGTAAATGAGAGTAATGTAAATTTTTGAAAGTAATGTGAATCGGGATACTGAAACACAAGGACTTTCTTGTTATCAGTGATACCTGCTTACAGAAAATAAATCCAATCTATCCTAATTGTGAAAAAAGCTTTGTGTTCATAATTTTGTTATATTTTCATGTCAAAGGTTTGGTGTGTTGGAATTTGGTTGTAAATATTTTGTGGCTTGTTTAATTTTCCTGCCACGTGTTGCTACAAAAGGAAGCCTTGGAAATTGAAGTTAAAATGTTACTAAAAAGAATGGCATGTGTTTGTTCATTTTTTAAATGAACTATGAAAATGTTTCCTCAGTGAAATCATCTAGGAGGGGGAATGTTGTTTTCTGGGATCTTTATATTTTGTGTCCCTACTGTAGACTGTGCGTACACTGGAGATGGCATGATTAAGTTCTTTCTGATGGGAGTATTGACAAAGATGAGGCATTTAAGCAGATATTCAACATGCAGCTACTGACCTCATAAATTGGCATTATTTACACAGTGGAAAAGACCTTCTCTGTATTAAAATTTTGTAGCATTGTTTTTCCTACATTCATGGTGATGCACAACTGTCTAAAGCTTCTTGGTCTATACAAGGTGTGGGATGTGTACTTCCAAAACTCTTCCTGCAGTGTGGACGAGACAGGATCTCTTGGGTCTCATAGTTTTTGTACTTTCTTTCATAAGGTCATTATATCAGGCTTGTATGGAATTTAACTAGCCTGTCTTTCATTTCAGCTCCATAAGTAAGAGCTCTGCAGAGCTCTAGTTGTATTTTTAAAGTAATTTTCTCTGATCTGTAAAGTTCCCCAAAGTCATCAATCGTCATCAAGAACAAGAAATTAAAACAGTTTGGGGAATCTATGCCAAGTTGTGCTCTTTTTCTCTCTCTTTTTTTTAACTTTTTTTTTTTTTTTTTTTTTTTTTAGTTAGGAGCCAAAACAAATGGGGGATGCTGTTCAGAAAGTGAGGTCACCTCATTTTTTAACCCTCCTATCTTTGAAATGCCATAATCAGTTTGCTTTAAGCTCTCCAGAAGTATTTTGTCCTGGAATAACTTCATCATGGTGTTTTAGAGGGGCTCATAATACAGGCTAGCTACAGCCTTAGCCGTGGAGCACAGTAGTCTTTTCAGTAGCAGGAGAGCACATGCCTTTTAAACCTCGTTTGCCATTCACAACTGTCCTTTTCTGTGAGTGTCGCTTTCGGTTTCTTTTCTCTCACTTGCAAGTCTCAGTTTCTGCCCCCCTTTCCTTCACTTCATAATCTACTTTTGCCTGTTTTCTCTCTCTTTCCTGTTTTAGAAGAGACATTAGCAAATGTTAAAACTAGACTTTAGTTCTGCAAAACTGTATGTTCTGAGTTTCTATGCTGATGTATAGTCTGACTGATGTTGCTTAGATTTTTCTTGCATTAGATTTCAGCCCTGAGCCTGTGGTTGAGCCCCTCTGCTTTCAGTCCAGCTTTGGGCACTGCTCACCTCTGAGAATTGCACGCAGAAAAGTGTGTGATGGGATGTTTGCTTTTCCACCCACCTCCCCTACTGTAACACTGAAAGCAAAGGGACATTTAACTCAAATGGAGTTGTGCTGTCATCTTGAGGTTCAAAATTCTGGTTGCACAGGACTATATGCACAAGTGTTCCCACAAATTCCTATTGACTGCCATGTCAGGTTGCTGCAGTTTTACAGATGCATTGTGTTATTTGTTTGTGTTCTGTGCAGTGCTGGTGTGTGTGTGTACAGTAAGAAAATTATCTCAAAAGTAGTTTTAAAAAATTATCCTAATTACTGTTTATTTTCTGAATATGTTTGGTTCCTATCCTAATAAAATAGTCTTGCTCTTTGTGAAAAATTTAGGTATGGAAATAATGATTTGGAGATCATATGAAGCCCTGATTTAAGAACATCAGAGCCATTAACTTGAGCTTGCTTTTTGTGTGTGTGTATAATTCACCCATATTTCCTTAATCAGTATGGCATAGCTGCATATTCAGTATGTCATTTAAGACTGTAGATGGACACTGAGCTTTCTAGGAATCATAAGAATCAAGATTTATAAGAATTATCATTCTTACCTTAATTAGGCTGTACTTAACACATAAAACAGTACTTGGACAATAACATAGGTAGTAGAAAGTATTTAGTTTCTTGTGGAAGGTTTCTTGAGAAAAGAAAGCTTCCAAGAGAAATTTGGTTGAGGAGGTAGAAGACACATCATTGTCAAGGTACAGTAGGGCTCAGAAGGCATCAGTGGAAGAGATGTCACGCAGAATTTTAAAGGAAAGAGAGAAAAGGATAAGTAAAGCAAGGATTGAACAGAATATAGGCAAGAAGAAAAAGTTCAAAGAGAACAGGCAGAGATAGACCACAGAAATTGGTTATGAAGTAGGAGAGAGGGATGAGCAAGGGTGTGGGTAGAGAAAAAAACATTTGTGTGGAGAGGATCAAGTGTTAAAAAAAAAAAGGCAGAGACTGAAAGTGACAGGACAGAAACATGGTTGAGTGCAGTGTTTGTAGCAGGACTTCTGGAGCTTTGAATCCACTGCCACTGACTGTTACAATTGATTCTGTAGGTGATTTAGGTCTGTGTGAATAAGACGCTAAGGTAAGGCTTTGATTAATGGTGGACTGATAGAGTTAAAAGGAAGGGAAAATGAAAAATGTCATTCAGCTATTGCCAATAATGCCCTCCCTCTCCTTTGTTCTTAATGCTGTGCTTGACACATACATGTTTTTCTGATCATTTGTAGAGTGACACAAATAAGAACCCTGCCTCACTAACCATAAAGAATGTTTCGTCCATGGACAGTGGACTGTCGATTTCCTGCGTAGCAGAGAACATTGTGGGAGAGTACCAAGCCTCTGCCGAGCTCACGGTATTCTGTACGTATGCAGGCCTCCATACAGATCCTGAGACCAAACTGCATTAGCAGGAGCTGTTTTGGGTATAAGTATTTTTTGGTCTCTTAGGTTGTTGAAAAGAAAACCGTTAAGGCATGTGAACTATCTACTTCAGTTAATGCTAAGGAGTAGCCCAACCAGCAGTTGTTGCATTTATCTTTTTCAGCTCTGTATTCTGCAAAAAATGTGTTTGTAACTGCTTCCTCTTCCGCTTAGAACAATCTGTAAGTAAAGGTCTAAAATCCCAAATACTAAATGCCACTATCAGTGTGGGAAGGTTTGTAGTGATGTGCGTGTCTATACACACTATCTTAGGAATTGAGAAGTGTGAATGCATCAAAAAGCTTGTAGAATTCTATGAGACTACAAATGCTCAAGTTCTTACTATCTAAAACAACAGCTGCTTTGTTCGAAAAATAATACACTCTCAACATTTGTACGGCCAGATATAAATTTATTTGTCATAGCTTTGAATAGTGCATGTATTTGTCAGGGCCAAGGAAGGGGGAAGGGACATTTAGTGTAGAGGCACTGGCTTCTTAGATCTAGGCTCCAGGCTAAATTCATTTTACATGAATTTACACTGTCATTTTACATGACAGTGTGTTTTCACAAGTTCCAACCCTCTGTTTAATTGAAGATGAGAATGGAACACTTCGTAGATGGCAAACTTGGCTCAGTGTGTGCTCATGACAGAGCAAACTAGAGAAATCACTGTTCATGTAGGTTTGTAGGTTGAAATTGGATATGTAATAACTATGGGAAAGAACATAAACTAGAAATGTTTGAACAGTGTAATGAGATTCTGAGCTTGGCACTGTTATGAGTGATAAAAGGGAGTACAACTAGATGAAATTGGATGTAGTTAAGAATAAATATAGAGGAAAATTTCCTGGTAGTGAAATAATGGGCAAGGTGTTGGAATAATCTCTTGAGAGAAACAGAAGTAGTCTGTAAACTTGAGGCATTTAGCAGATGTGAACAAGGATGACAATATGTATAGTAGAAAATCATCTTTCCCGACAAAAGAATCCAGGGAATTAAGTAATCTGTTCTGACTTTGATTCTGTGAAGAAAATAGTCTGTAAGTTTGGATTCCTAGCTGAGAATATTTGCAGTGCTACTTGCTTTTGGCCAGCTTTTAAATATTTTCAATACTGCTGTTTTCCTTCAGCACTCCTCTGCACCATTTTTTCAGCAAAATAAAGCTAAAATGTCTCTCTTCCAAGAGAGAGATTTTCTCAGCGATCTAGTAACTGAACTTCCCACACCTTACAGGCTTTAAGTGATTTAACACATGTTCAGTCTTTGTCTGAAACTAGTTTGCTTTGTTTTTTTGAAGAGCAGCTTCATTTCAGTTGTAAGCATAGTACCCTAGGCAGAGCAGGTGCATTCCTGTGTGAGCATCCTTCAAATATGTACCATTCCTACTAGTAACATGTATTTGTACTGGTGAATAAAAAATACTTCCCTGATAACTTTGGAGGGGGGAAAGGAAAGGAGGAAGGACATGTTCAGAATATTCTGATGTTCTTCATTCTTTTTTTCCAATATAGTTGCACCAAATATCACATTTATTGAATCTCCAACCCCAGACCATCACTGGTGTATTCCATTCACTGTGAAAGGGAACCCTAAGCCCACATTGCAGTGGTTCTATGAAGGAGCTGTGCTGAATGAGTCTGAATACATCTGTACTAAAATACATGTTATCAATCAAAGTGAATACCATGGCTGCCTTCAGCTGGACAATCCTACACACCTGAATAATGGTGCTTATACCTTACTGGCAAAGAATGATTATGGAGAGGATGAAAAACGGGTTGATGCTCATTTCATGTCAGTCCCTGGAGATGGTAAGTGTAATTTTTTTTAATGTTAGCAATTGCAAATTTATACTGTTGAGACAGTGCTCTTGCCTAGTTTAACTATTTGGAGGAAGCTTTCTATAGGACTTTTTTTCCTCTGAATAAATGTCTTCAATATTAATTGTAAAATAATGTTTTCCTTGATTATTTTCTTCTTGTTTATTGCTTCTCAAGGGAGGCCATGCCAGTGCTCTATAAATCTTTCCTTTGAGTAGCCATCCTCGCTGCCAGCTAAGGCTAATAAAAGGTTGCTTTTCTGAAGTTTTCCCAAGCCTCTGTTCTGATCCTGGAAGGCATCGACTGCCAATTCAGCCACTCTGTAATTTGCTGCGCTGCATACGAATGGAACTAGGCAGTGTATTGCAAGACATGGAGGATGCCTGTGTACATCTAGTGCCTTGTTGCAAAATTGATTGTGCGGTCCAGTGAATTGATGATAATATGTTGTTTAGGGCATCGGTAACCCAGAGGCAGGATGGACAAGGTCTCAGGTGCTTACAGGCATTTTGATGTCCAGTTCCCATTCATCTATGTGAAGGTTGGGCATCTACATGTCTAGGAGTATCACTGTTCAAGATAGCTGCATCTTCAATTGCTCTAAAGGTTCTACCAAGGCCACCTAAATGCTTTTTGGGCAGGCTTAAGGTAGACTAATTCACTGAATTGCAGGGACTACTGTAAGTGATTGTTATTCTCTGTGATTTGATCTTTTCTCACATCTTCAAAACCGTACATGAAGTGACTGCAAGAACAGTTTCTGTACATGTAAGCATACTGGTGTATGTGGAAGAAAACACTGAGGGGACCTTGCACATCTGGAGTAGAAATAAAGTCATGGTTTTGTGCAGATAATTACATACTCATATCTGAAAATATGAGCCTGTATGTACCTTTGGCTTTTTAGCCATGTGATATAAAAAGTTGTCTTCTTCTTTTAAACAGCAATGTGCAGTGCTAATGTTAGCTGGCAGGAAAAAAAGGGGATGTTTAAATTCTCTCTTCCTATATCTCAGGCTACAGAAAGTAAAAATATGGTCATATGTCATTTTTTCCCTATCAACTCAGTTTGCTGTAGGGAGAGAGAGAGTGGGTCAAAAGACTTTCCCATCTTTAGAAGGAGAGGATGCAGAGCTGATAAAATCAGACTATTTACTCCTGCTGTCCTTAATGTTCCTCTCCTTTTTTTCTCTGGAGTTCTTCCTTAAGTAGACTCATTACAGAAACATGCCATGATTTCAGCTATTGGCATCCTTTAATACTGCTTTATAACTGTTCAGCAAAACAGTTCACCTCATGGATATTCTGTGTACAGTGGAAGTTCTCTTACACTCTGCTTATTTAATATGAACCTGAGTTCATTTTCTAATAAAATAACAGCCTCTCATACATTTAGGTGATTTTATAATTTTTTGTCTTTGATCCAAATCCCTTCTCCTGTTTTTCCTTTATGCCTCTCCCCTGTGCACTGAAAACTTTCCAGTTGTGTTGTTTTAGATCAGTAAATAGGACTGTAGCTATCCTCTAAATTAGAAAGAAAACATTATTTATTTGTTCCTTCATATTTATATTCATATGGAATATAAGTCTATATATTATCTATATATTATTTAATCTGTGCTGTGTTCTTTAGGTATTTCCCAAGTCCTCTAGTGGATTAAGTTTCACAAAAAGAGTACAGAGGAAATGAGACTATGTATGGACAGGATGTAACTGCATTAGAAATTAGTTCATATATAGTGAATGGCACCAAACCAGTCTTAAAAATTAACAGCAGGGGAAATGGCTTATATACTTAGCCTCCTCAATATTGTTTTTAGTTTTTTCCTGTAGGAATTCATGGCATTGAGCTGCTGAAAATGTCACAATGTTGTTGTCTCTTCCACTGAAGCTCACATAAAAGCAGATGTGTTGTATTACAATTTTCATTCTCAACTATTACTATTTAAAGCACTGTCAAGCTTTTACAAATCCTTAAAAGGCTTTTTCAGTGCTGTTGTTACTGTGTAGTTTCTTCTTTTGGCCCACATATTGTACAATGAATCATAAAGGTTAAGGCCCATGCCCTGGTATTACGTTCATTTCCATGTCTTCATGACTGAATTAAATATTAGTCCTGATGTTTCATGGAGAGAGGTACACTCACTGAGGTTAAACTGATTCTCTGCTTATTGCATCACTTGGGCAAATGCTCAGAAGGTAAAAACAAAAAAAAAAATTCAAAACCTATAATCCATATGTCTAAAGTAAATACACGTAAGTCTGAAACATATTCTACTATCAACAGCGTAATGCTTCACTTTCAGAGTTGCATCAAACATGGTGAAGAGATGATTTCTCTAAGATGCTCTCAATTTCCAGCATGCTACTTGGTGAACTTTTTCCACTGGTCTGAGGATGGAGGAAACTATGTACCACAGTGGGATTTTGATGGTGTTAATGATACCACAATTAATGTTGTAAAATAAGAATTTGCTTTAAATATGAAGACCTAGAAGAATAAAGTTTCTATTTTATTGACTGGATTTTAGCTATCTTTAAGCTGCTAAAGTTCTTGGTTTCCTGTTCTTGCTGAAAGTGACTTGATTATTTGAGATGACACTGCAGTGAAGAGTAAGCCAGAAATGGTCATGGTTTATTCTGGAGGCTGTCCTCATAGTTGATCCAAAATGGCTAATGAATGTCGGAGAGATTTTTACCAATAATAGGTATTTTTAATTAAGCTTATTCATCTACCAACCGTCTATGCTAAAATTCAGCTGAAGGTTCCAAGTCACGTATATCTTGTCATAGTAAAAGAATATGTTAAATATGCCATAGAAGTAGCATTTGCTTGTGTGGCATAATGTGTTTTACAGATGTTTTTGGAATTGAGTCCTTTGCTGCTGTTTTATTTTGAAAACATCAAATTTGTAAAGAAAGAAGCAAGCAATCCAAGTGTAGTTGATGTAGTTCGTAAAGATGAGTGAATAGGATAAGTCTTTTGATAGTTCGGTTACTTAACAGCCTCTTCTAAAGGGGACCAAAACAATGGTGCCATTTTGTATTTGCCTTGAAGATAAATGTGTGTAAATATGCAAAATTATTGTGGTGAAGTTTAATGTTAAAATAACTTCAACTGATGATTAAGTAGGTGTGTTTTTATGTGTTAAATAGAAAAAACAATACTAAGTAGAAAATTGGGAGTTGTCTACGATCTTGATTTTTGAAACTTTATTTGAAGTATTCAGTTATATAAAAGGAGTTGAATAGAGTTGATGACTTCCTAGTTTATATCTCTGGCAGGAGTTAAGGGTTTACTAATCTGCTTACTTTATCCCAATTTAAGTGAACGTTAACAAAAATGTTGCCAGAAATAAAGGACTGGGAGGCTTTTTTATTGTTGTTGTTTTGGGTTTTTTTCCACTTCTGATTGCAGAATGTGAGTTAAAAAATACTGTCTTTCAGCAGATGGATGTTTTACAGCAGAAAAACTGAATCCATGGATTTTTATGGACAGAAATCTCTGGCCAAATGTTGCTTGAGGACAGATAGTGCAACATTTCTTCACTGGTTATTTATTCCTGTCGATTGACATGATGCTTCTCATGGGGATTATTGAACTGTATCTCTGGATACTAGAATATCTTCAGATGCATTTTAAAATAAACCTAATTATCTGTTGCCACTCTGCACATAGGTTGCAACTAATATTTTCAGCCCAGTTTCTCATGCTGTGAACAATGGTGTTCTGCTCATATTCACAGTGGCTTTATGCCAGTATAATGCCACTGCTGTGGATTTACTGTATAGTATTATAAACAGAATTATATTATTTGAAGTTGGATGCATCTTTAGAGATTTTAATTATCTATAGTTTTACTTCCAAACCTACAAAAAGAAAGACTAAAAATATGGAAGACATTATTAGACGCCCACTACATAAGCTATGTAATGAATACATTATAAACTAGAACGAACAGGTATGTTAAGATACAAAACAAGTATTCAAAGCATGAATAGTCTAATAGTGCACAATAATTCTGTGGGCGTTCTGTACATTACATTCACATATGTGCTTAGCCTTACTTATGTGCAGTAATTATAAAAGGATGCAAATAGGAACTAGTAAAATTTAGAAAAGTGTTGCCTGGACAGGTATCCATTTGCTTGTGTAAATTCTGGTTTCTGAGACATCTGACTCTTTTGCTAAGAGTTCTGTCTGTGTATCAGCTGTGCAGTTGGCTTCTTGGAAGCATCCTTTTACAGAGTGAATGAAATAGTACTGCTTCAGTTTTTGCTACCTCTAGCCCTTAAATTACCAGCTCCCAGCTAAACCTGTTTGCTCTCACAGTGATATAATAGCAATTTCTTTATCAGGTAAAAATCCATAATTGTTAGACCTCACTGAAGTCTGATTCTGCTTGAAGTCAGGGAGAATTTTACCACTGACATTTCAACGAGAATAGTTAATGTTGCACTTATTCCATATATATATATTAATAGTGGAAAGTAGGATTTTGCCCAGTTGGGGAATAATGTGTGCCCTTGCCAGAGCTAGCTTGCAGTAGCTCTTTCACATGAAGAAAAATATTAACTTTTGGAATAGCTCCAAAATGGTTGTAAATGTAATCTGATAAGCAGGTACTGCAATTATTGGTGTTGACTTGCATTTATGTAGTTACTGGTGATTGCTATGGCAAATAAAGTCAACTCTTAAAACAATTCCTGTTCTTATTCTTCCAGCATTTGCAATCTATTTACATAGCTTTTCTTTTTTTTTTTTCTCTTCTCCGTGTGCAGGTAGTGGCCCAATTTTGGATCCAGACGTTTATGGTATATATTTGATTTCCTTTTTCTTTTCTTTTAATGCTAGAAATTAAGGAACTGAAGCCATTAAAAGATTGAATGTCAGGCTCAGTTAAATTGAAATGTCACATATTATAACACGATTCTAAAAGGTACTTTGTGGTTTTGGTTCTTCTGCCTTATATTCAACATACATGATGGCAATATGATGTTTTACTTACTCTGCTGCTTTTGATTCACATTAGGAGAAGCATAAATCCACTGCTATGAATGGGTGCAGTTGATCCTGTAGAATGAAAGCTGTCTAATGTAGTTCACAGACATTAGGTTTTGTGAACCTTTTGGAGGCATTTCTTGGAGGAAAGAGAGTTTGTGATTTCTCCTTATATAACTTAATTTATTTTTTCAAGGATGATTCCATACTTATTTTGCCTCCAAAAATGTACCCCTAAATCCCACTTAAAAATGAAGTTGGCATAAGTAAGTTTTCCTATAGGCAATTTATTCTGCTCTGTCCACTCATTTGTACCTTCTCTTCATCTCTCTTGCATAAGCAGACCATCAAGTCAGTGGTAACTGAGTGTGTGCCAGGAGACTCGATGGCACAGTGTTCACATTAGTTTTTTAGTTAGGAGAAATGTACCTAGTGAAAGCCAGTGTGCACTAGAATAGAAGCTGCAGAATGAAAAGCAACTGGCTAGTTTTACAAAATATTTCTGGTATACTTCTGGTGAGTGGGAAAGTTCACCTTAACCAACGTACCCAAACAACCTGAAGCTGGATCCTATTTGGAGTAATTTTTACTTGGATGAAATGGCCCATGACTCAAGTTAGCTAAAGCTGATCTAAATGTTATGTCTTTGATTCCATTCCATGTCATTAAACTTTAGCAAATGTGCAGTTGAAGCATCAATTTGACTTTAAATGCTTAGAAATTCCAAAGGATAGCTTCCCCTCCCTCTCTTTCCAAATTCTTTTTTTTGTTTGTTTGTTTGTTTGTTTGTTTTTTTGTTGAGAGGGTTGGGGATAGGAGAGTGGTGATGGTTTGCACAATTTCTTCATGTGTTGTATTATATAAACTGTATGCATGAAGATTTTGATTCTGAGTTGTTTATGAAGGCCCTGATGCCTGTGTATGGCTTTAGTCATGTGAGCGCTGTATGCTTCGATTGACTTGGGTAGGATTCTGCTAATATGTTGTGCTTTGAGTTTTGCTGATGGATTACACCCTGCAAGACCCAGTCCTGGTGAAGGCAGCCTTCCTTTTTATTCTTGGCTGTTCTTTCTGGTGTTTAAAAATGCTGTCCTTGTGATGTGAGGTGATTTCCAATTGTTTTCCATTAAGTGTTTTGAACATACAACAGAAAATAGAAGAACTGATGAGGCTGCGTCAGGCTGCATGACATTGTGTTTGCCCGTGGGAGTCCAGACTGCATGGGGCAGTTCCTGCAGTGCATGGAGCAGTAACTAGTGCCTCTAGCTCACCTCTCTGGCACCTCTTGGAAAAGGCGAAGAGGGGAAGCTGTCCTGTCACCATCTGGGAAGTAACTGAGAGAAATAAAGCAACTCATTTGGGTATGAGCAGGAAATTTAAGTGCAAAGCCAGCTCCTTTGGCTCTGAGTTCACATTTTCATGCTACGATGCTTCTTCTAATGTGGTTTTGAATGTGAAAGATACAACCTGCCTCATATCAATCAAACCCCCAGAATGACTGCGCAGGGCCCGCCTCCCCCCCGTCCCGCCCCCCCGTGCTGATATGACTGTGCTGTTATGTCTATCCCAGCTGCCATGCACCTTGTTTCTGAAATTGCTGCAAAATATGTCCCAGCCTCAGCTGCAATTCACTGCAGTTTTTATAGTTATTGGTGGCTGCATGAGGTACACAGCGCAGGAGAACTTGGCCCTGCAGCAATATGAGTCCTACCTAGCATGAGTCAAGAGGCGTGACCCTGTCTGTATAGTGCTCAGTGTTTATGTCAGGATTTCATAGTGAAATGAAGAGGAATTTGTTTAACTCAGAATCATCTGGTTTGGGCTAGATAGCTGTTGTGTGTGTTTTCCTTGACTGACTCACCCATTTCAAGACGCATTGAAGATCTGGCACTATGCACCTCAAATGCATATGATTCACAATTAGACAGCAGGGAATGTCAGTACAACACCTGTGTACTGATGCAGCCTACTTTAACTCTTGCCCATTTGAATATAAAAGTGCATTCAGGGGATTCACAGACCAGACCTGAAACACTCTGTATGGTTCTCACTAGTCCTTCAGGGTGTGATTTCCAGTAGCTTAGTACAGATATAAGCACAAACACAACTGCAAATAGCATCATCTTTTGCCCACTGCTACTTACATGTAAATTAAGAGCAAAAAATTTCCTTCTTTGAAGTTTGTTTTACAAAGTCAGATCAATGAAGGCCCTAAAAATTTGTTTTATATGTTGGTCTTATAAACCTACAATAAATATAAGGTTGGCCAAAACTATATTTGTGAAAATGTTCCCAGGTAATTTTAAAGGAAGCCCAACCTTCTAGGCCTAGGTATTTGTTATAAAGCAGGCTTTGCCTGCAAATAAATTAAGCAGAAGTCTCTTCCTCTCCTGTGGCAAAGTGTGTAGTCATGGTGACAGATGGTCTTGTCCAGGAGTCCAGGCTGCTTGTGCAGGTGAGCTGTTCAGGCAGGGGTTGTACTACCTGGATGGGCGAGAAGTGCTGTTCATACTTCTGTTGCTGATCCGTGGTAAGCTACACCCATAGAGATGCAGTGCAGAGTTGTGGAATTCAAATGGTAAAAGACCAAGAAATTAATTTTTTTCCTCATGAAAACTCTGTATATTTAAAATGTATTTTGGCTTGAAAGAGTCCTGTGCATTGGCATGTATAGTTTAGAGCCAAAATAGAATATGTGAGTTGTTTAGACATCCTGACTCTGCTGACTATAGCACTGATGCCAGAGGTAGCTGATAGCTTCCTCTATCAAAAAAGTCTGCAGCCTGCTAGTGCCTTGCAGAAAGTAAGTGTGTTCTTGAAGATCAAAAGCCCAGTGCAACGTCTTGCTAGCACTGCCAGCTGAGCTCTCCAAACTGGCCTTTGGAACTAAAGGAGAATACCTCTGCTGGGGTGCAAGCGTTCCCTGTACTTGCTCAGCAGCAGCTCTGTGATCAGAAGAGCTCCTGCATCTCTAATTAGCAAGAGCTGTGCCTCTGTGCTCTGCTTTTTCAATTTCATAATTAAAATTTCATCTGTAGGCTTATGGCACTAATTTTAATCCAAACATGTAAAGAAATACCCAGTGAATTGCAAACTTAAATTACAATGCTGGAGGTGCGTTTTGTAATAGGTGCAGTTATTACCCCTTGTTTCTTTCATCTGCACACATTACAGTCATGAAATTGAAATGTTTAGTGTGTTTCCAAAAGTAAATACAAAATATATGCATTTTTAATTTTATTTTAATGCATGTTTCTCTTAACATATATTACTATTTGATTGTTTTTATCTCATTTGAATGATTTTGTCAGGAAATCATGAACTATATATTTGTGTTTCATTTTAAAATTATTATAAATAATTAAACCATGTTCATTCTTTGTATGGAATGGTTCTGGATTTACCCCTGCAGCCCTATCAGTGGAATTATTTTGATAAGTCAATAAATTTCTTCATACAGGTTCAGGCACTTGAATTTTTAAAGGATTACCTGTATGACAGCAATGGTAAATGGTGACCCCTGTGCACGCAACAGAGGTTTTTTATTATTTATTAAACAAATAAAACCAGCTATTTCCCATTTGATACTCATAAAACTAGCTAGAAACTCATCTGCCGAGTTCATCAGCTAAACAAAAGTGCCCGAACTAATTTCTGAGACTGTCCTATATTTGACAGAATGCAAGGGCTCAGTGTAGAGGGCAGTCTTTCATTTTTAATGGGAATTCAGAAGTGTGTTAAAATAGCTCTCTGGATGGAGTTCTCGTTTAACTCTAGTGTTTCCAGTAGGAATACACATTATGATGTAGATTGCTTCTCTTTTCATGTTTGTCAGTCACAGCACATTTGTTCAGTTATATGCTATAGTGATTCCCCCCAGAACATTCCAGCTTCATTAGCAATTATGGGTTGTTTCCAAAGAGCTCAAAGTCCCAAAATTGATAGTGACCTTACCATCTTACAAAGCAGAAATAATGAAAACCATTTCCCCTCCAAAGTGACGAAATTATAAAAGCAACCCTTTTTCCTTTCTTAAGAGTATGAAACCACGCCTAATGATCTTGGAGATGCCACAAATAACAGTAATCAAATCACTTCCACGGATGTTTCCAACAAAGAGAATGAAGATAGCATCACTGTAAGTATATGTGGTGTTTCCTGATCTATGATTTTTGTGAACTTCCTGGCTATAAAACTCACGAAGCTGCAGACACTGTAACAGGACCCTGAGCTACCAGAACACTATAACTATTAGTGTGTTGTGATCAAAACTCAGGAAAAAAGGAAAAAAAAAAAAGAACAATCAGTGCTCCCCACTCATGTCCTCCCCCCATTTTTTTGAAAGAGTGAATCAATTTTCAGTTCAAGTAAAACTGTTATTTTATTTCTTACTTTTCTGAACAATTTAACTGTAATTTTTTTAGCCTAAGACTTTGCATTTAATTTTTAGTTAAGGAGAGCAGCTCTTCATTTACAAAACAAAGACATGCAAGGTAACTTGAAGATTGTTGTTTGAATACCAGTCCTGGAGTCAGCTTCTCCTTAGAGAAAGGATGTGCTGCAACGAACTTTCAAAATCTAATTGTATGTTTTTAAAACATGATTTCTTGTTTTATTGGTATGTAATAGATTTTAGTAAAAGTGGCTGAATTGGTATAGGCCTCCTCCTTTGCTGCCTTGCCTCTCATGCTTTCCTGAACTGAAATGTTGGAAACTGATAGTGGGTTACCAGCCTGGTTGACATTGCAGCCTCCCTCTACCAGTGACTCTTCAAAGCAGCAAACAGTGGGGTGTGTGCATTCATGAAACAGAGAGCAAACTGTGAGCTGGGACACTGTGCTAAAAACTGGGAGGATCCAAAACAGTCTTGTCTCATCTGATACTGGAGTCATTGAACTGCTGAGGTGAGAAAGGAGGGATCTGTGAAAATCCGCTGGTCGAAGCCTTTAATCAAAGTGGGGCCAGCATGGATCCTCATGGGTGTGTCCTCTCTGGTTTTGATGTCACCAGTGATGGAGGCTTCCCAGCCACTCCAGGTAATTTGTACCAGTATTCAACCATCTTCACAGTAAATTTTTTTTCCTATGTGCTTTTGTTACGTGTAACATGCCACTTTTCTTGTAACGTACCACTCTGCTGGAAGGGAAAGGGGTGATGTATGCTCCCTCCCACCTGCCTTGAATGTGTAGGATGTTGAAAAAGGTGTTCTTATAGCTATCTGAATCTCTGCTCCCTGCAGAATAGAAGAAACCTCAGCAAGAGTCTGTTTTCTGTACTATTTGATCTGAGTTCCCAGTTGAAATGAATCTCTTTTCCTAACTGGATTAATCTGAATCTGTGCTGGATATCTTTGAAGGTAGTTTACAAGTGCAAAACAAGCAGTTCTGTTTGTGTCCTCTTCTTTTTTAGGTGTATGTTGTAGTGGGAATTGCAGCATTGGTGTGCACTGGCTTAGTAATAACACTCATTATTCTGAAGTTTGGAAGACACTCCAAGTTTGGAATGAAAGGTAAGCGGGGGGTTTTTTTATACCTTCCAGAACTGTTGTGGGTTGTAGGAGTTGATACTATAGGTGGTTGTTCTGGGAGCAGTCAAAATAGCTACATTAAATGCCATCACATTTAATATTTTTTTTATTCATCAGGTAAGTAAGGGCAGAGGTAGATGTAGACAGAGTGTAGAATTTTGGATGATAAATATTTTTTCTCTTTTGTTCTTATGACAAATCCCATTTCTCTGCCGCCTTCTGCAAATCCCCCTGAGACACTTCCTGGAGTAAAATATTTCTCAAGACAGTGTAGGTAGGAAGAAGACAGGAAATGAAATTTATTTTGCTACAAGTTTGATAATAACAGTTTGATGAGGATCTATGCTGTATGTCAGAGGTACAACACAAGACAATACGACAATGTCGCGTTAAGGTGATTCAAGAGGAAACAATGACAAGAGTGGAAGGTGCATTTGCAGTGGATCCTGTCAGATTCTGACAGATGTATTTTGTTGTGCTTCTTGGGGAGTATCATCTGGAGGGAGTGGCGAGTACTCATGTCCCTGTGAAAGAGGGAAATCTCAGCCCTTTGTTTATTCATTTATTTATTTTACAGCCAGATGGAGGTATATATAACACAGAGGTACCTGCAACAACTCTGTTACCATATTATTTTACTGATGTCATCAGTCTGTGACTGCTGATGTGAGTGAAATGGTATTTAAAAAGACCACTGTGTACTAAAGGAGATGAAGTTTTGTTCTTAATATGCGTAGATGAGGGTCTGTGGAGAATGTGGTGACTAATCTTCTGTTAACCTCATGTACTTCCTCTCAACTGTGGTTATGGCATAGTACCACATGGATGTATATTTCGGTAATCCTTATGTGCTCTTGGCAAGTGATCTTTTCAGAGATATCTACTGTATATTATGTGTTCTTGTATTCTGTTTAGAGTAGATTTCCCAGAACAAATGAAATTTGAGCACAACAGAAATGTAGTCGGTGCGTATCAGCTTGCTGGGATGGTAACGTTGTCTTTCACCTCCTGATACGATACAGTCTCTGCTCTTTGGGGTAGCATAAGAAGAGGACAGTCATTTTGATATACTCTGCATAACAACACAAAGTCAGCAGGATAGAGCTGCAGTTTTGGTGGAAGGCTAGAAAAAACTTTCTGTGACTGAACAACAGTTCAGCGTAAATTTTACTTGTGTTTGAGGCTTTCTGAATTGCATTTACAGAGCTGAAGTAGGTGGAAGCTAACTGAGAGAAACAATGAGAACTGTCTGTTGTTAGTTCTTTAAAACTGAATACTTGTTAGGTTTTTCCAGATGTGCATTAAATATTTCAATGCTATTGGAGAAACTAGGAAGTAAACTCTACCCTGAGGGAGAATGCACAAAGTTCTGTTTTGTGTGGTAGTGTTAAATTACCTTCCAGGATGCTATTAGTTTTTTAATATCTTAAGGTGCAACTCTTCTCACAAAAATAATGCACTTGCCTAATCAGTAAATTTGACCTGAGTAGTTCTTTGTTGCAGAATTGTCCATGTAGATCATATTTTCATAAGGATATATTTTGTGGAAATGACTATATGAAATAATGAAAAGGCAGCAATCTCATATATATTATTTTTAAATCTGACCAGTGATGGTTAGGAAAATCAGTAAAATGAGTTTACAGTTCAGGTACACCCCTTCAAAAATTAATTACAGTCATGGTATGTGTGGTAATGGTGAAATGTCACTGTGAGCTACAAATAACTCTTTAATGTTTCATTAGAAGGGAGTGACTTTCACGTGTCCCTTAAATGGACCTCAGACTTCTCCAAAGTGTGCATTCACACCTCAGCTTCACACTGTGGATTTATCCATAGTCCAAAGTCCCAGAAACTCTCTCTCCCTTTTTATCATTATCAGTATTACTGAATTGACCTGAGATTAGATTTTTATAGATATGCAGTACCCAGACTAATAAGAAAATATTACCTGCTCTGAAAAACCTGCAGCGTATGTTGAGAATTCATATAAACAACATGGTGTGTTCGAACATGAGAAAAAAATAAGGCAAAGGTGACAAGAAGGGGTTTTTTTGATCATTATTGGTCAGCAGAATACATTTAAAATGTGTGTCTTGGAATTTGTAAATAAAAGGATCTAGCCAGCTACCTGAGAACTCCTTGAATCATTTGCAATTGAATTTAGTGACAGCAAAATTAATCCAAACTGCATAAAGACAATGTGCTGTAGTGGTAGTTTAATAAACAGTCTTAACAGGGAGATGGGAAGGAGTGAAATATCCAGATTGCCACGGAAAATATTTATAAAACAAGATTAAAAGTCCTCTCCAAAATTAATAACTATTTTGTATTCATAAGAAGTAACTTCCTGAGTTATATCAAGCAGAAATGCATGAAAGGCTGTGCTTCATTTTTCTGTTACCTTCTGAGAACACAACATGGTCACTTCGGACGCCTTGTCATTAAGAGTCTTCCCACCCTTCTTTAGCAAGCAGTTTGGAGAAAAACCCCAAATAGTTACTCAGTAACTGGAGCAGTCAGACTGGCACCAATGGTATTTTACATGCAACCATGTATGTGGAAAAAATGTACCACTGAAAATCAGAAAAAGAAATGTCTGTATACCCAATCAGCACTGTCTGTGCCATAGGAAATGTGAGGGATGAAATTTTCATCTCATTGAGGTTCTCAGCAGGCATCTGTAGCTTCTGTAAACATTGTTTTACACCTCATGTTTTTAAATGCCAATTGGTCCCATCTTTTACATGGGCATCATCTGCCCACTTCTTAGACTGTGTCCTTGCTGAGTTCTTCTGCACTTGAAGAGCTCGAGCGTAGTTGGAATGTGGGACTGACAGTGATAACAGTCCCCAGAAAGAGATGTGGAGCAGGCAGTTGTGTCTGAGCTATGCTGCCTCAGAGCTGCCCATACCTAGAAGCACTGGTCATGCTGAGGAGCTGCTCAGCCTGCCACAGAGCTCACATTCCCCGTTGTCTTCTTTTCCTTACCGGACAGAGCAGAAAAGTGTCCACTTTATGTGTTAGAGAGTATCAGGTCCTCTGGGAGCTTCTAGTTCTTTGGCAGTACTGATCAATCTTTTATTAAGATCTCTCGAAGAGTTGTATGAAAATTATTTTTTTTTTTACTTTTGTCTATTCATTTGGTATATCTAAGGTAAGAGAATAAGTTGGTATATGTTAATTTCACTCAGTTATCTTTCCAAATTGTAGTCATAGAGTATTTTTACTGGTAAGGAGGGCAAGCAAAGCACTCATTCACCACCAGTAACAAAATGTAAACATTTTGTTTGTGATGTTCTGTATTCTGATTGAAGTTGGATTGTCCTGTTTGAAGCAAGCAATTGTTTTAATTCTTGCCTTGCTTCTTTTTAGTCTGTCTTTTAGAGCTAGAGAAGATAGGAGTTTCTGATTATTGACTTTGGGAACAGTATTAGTATAGAACAGATCTTTGATCGGTACTAGAAGAGACTTAAAATAGGGTGAGTAGAAAAAGCTCTCACGTTGTGCTAGACTTCCCAACTTCTGTTGCAGAATTGGTCAGAGTAACTGGTGAAACATAATTCTATTTCGCTGCTTGTGTACATTTTAAACACCTTCTTATACAGAGCTGTTTGACAACAGCTTTGTATGAAAAGCTGCTTTTCGTTCCTTGAATCTGGAGATGAGGTTTTTAGACCCTTGCAAGATGCAGCATAAATGGTGCAAGCTTCAGTTAATTTCTTAAATGCATTTGTTAAGACTTGTGAGTTGCTCTTACAAAACACTTTGGCTTGCTTGCTGGGGGATATGAAAGTGCTCATGGTGGGAATTCAATGAAAGCTGCCAAGACAGCTCGTACAGTTTTGTGTGTGTTTCTGACTCCATCTAACCAGCTTATGAAACTGAAAAATAACAAGGGAGCTGAAGTAGAGAGGGCAAGGGAGTGTTTGTGAACTCCCTGAGAGGATTTGTGGAAGAGTAATTCTAGTCCTGTTTTATTCTACTTTCCATGTTGAAAACTCAATATAAGTAATCAAATGGTTGCAGCATAACCAGCCCAATAGACAGTTTGCAAATGTTAATAAAGCCACTGAGCATGAATGGAAGTATAGAGGAAACTGATGGAAAGTAAATTAATGGATAAACTTCAGAACACCATCATTCAGTTAAAAGGATGGAAACATTTTTGTTTATTTGAACTGTAGTAAATTTTAGCACAATATGTCTCTATTCCAGTGACAGGGCAGTATCGTTGCTGCTCCTTGCTTGCTAGGGAAGTTGGAAGTGGGTTGTTACGGACAACAGTATTATCACAGCAGCCTTACTGTAGAGATAAATAGAGTTTGTGTAGGTTTTACCAAAATCAGAAAGGGAAGGGAAGCCACTCTTATCCAAAGCAGCACCTTTTGTCTTTTAAGAAGTTAACAAATAGCATTTGACAGAAGTAGAGGAAAATCTGTGTACTTAATCCATGTGGGGTGAGAGAAGTTTTCATTTCTGTGTTTGTAGGAAGTTTCTGTCAGTGCTTTGAGCTGTGTGCTGTAGTGCAAAGTGCAAAGGTGAGAGAACAAATAGTCTGAAATTCGCATTATACTTAGGCAGTGCCAGTTATCCTGTCTGTGGGCTTGGGTGTAATGCTTTGAAAGGTGCTTCTCCTTCCTCGAGCACTCTCTGAACTACCTACCATGTCTAAATGTAAGTCCTGACTATGAATGCTTCACCCCTTTCAAAATGTTGCAAGTCTGTGCAATTCAGGGTACAGAAATTTGCCTTTCTGTCATTAAGTTATGAGATTGTACAGGTTGATCTAAGAAAGAAAACTGTCCCTTTTAGGACACCCCAAAATACTACATTTCCTTCAAGTCCTTGCTAGCTACTTCTTGTCTTTTTTGAGTGTAAATTTAAAATTTGGCCTCTCAAGGAGGGTGCTGTTCTCTTTCATCAAGCTGATTAAAAGTTAGGAACACACCCATGTGTTTAACCTGCCAAGGTTGAAACTG